ACCGAGCTGGAGAAATATAAGAAAAATTATGGACTGATAATAGTTCAAGAATTAGAAGGAATTAATCTAATCGTAAAGAAATTATGTCCCACTCAGTATCTAGATTTATGATGAACGTGAAAAATCCCAACAAAAAGTATGTCTCATAACAATAACCGTTAGCATATGGTCATGTTCTACACAGAAGTTCATTCAGTTAATCGATATTGATGTCTCAGTGTTCATTTCCAACCATACGGTGTTCAATACATGTGAAATAACTTAGGGACAAAATGTTCTATACCTGCAATAAGGAAATACGACTATGTGAAGTAAAGATAGGTCAAACTCAGCCTATAGAATTTTTTTAAAAAAAAATTAGAACCTGAAGGTTCAACATAGGTGATAGGAAAGCGAGAAACTGGATCCTGTCATAAGCAAGTTTAAAATTTAGCCAATTAAATTGAGTAGAGTCCATCTTAAAAAGATGATAACCGCTCAGTCGGCCAGGAATTTCCCTGTCTTCCTTTTAACCGAAATTTTATTACTGTTCCTAAGATCCTATATTGGGAAAATTCAGTCAACTGCACATCTTCTCAGATTGCTTCATGATATACATTAATACTAATGAGAAAAACCTGCTATAAATTGTCGGAAAATGATTTATTTTGGATTTTCACCCTTTGCATTCTTCCTCCCTTAAATTCTCCCGCATTTTTCTTCATCCCTTTTATATCAACGTTTTCTGTTCACCGAATTTAGAAATATTTCTAAAAGCTTTTTCATCGGAGAAACGCTTGTAAAAATTAAACATTTTGCCATCTAGCGACATTGTAGAGAATATTTATGCCTCAGGCACTGAATAACACACACAATTATAAACCAAATTCAAAATTTACGTATATAGTGCATGCCTGTGACCCTAAAGCTGGTATTTGTCATGATTTATCGGAACTTATGACCTTCAAATTACAATAAGACACGTTATACGCATCGCGAACTAAGTCAACCAGTCAATTATTAAGCTGAGTTTACCAAACAGCAGTGTCCGTCTGACATCGGGACTGGAAAATTAACCATTGAAGCCAAATGGTAATTATATGTACACCTGATTAGTAATAAAATTATGCATTTTGCTTACATAGTGTACATTTGTGTTCGGTATGCTTCTCACAATAAGCAGCGACTGTTTATTTAAACATAATTAAAAAGCTCAACTTTGTAATACATGTAAGTTTTCTTTGAGGTAGGGGTTGAATTTTTAAAAATTATTTAGACTAGTTTTGTCTTCAAAGAGTTAGAGCTATCTGAATTTTTAAAAATTATTTAGACGAGTTTTGTCTTCAAAGAGTTAGAGCTATTTTGACTTTGGAATCGTGTTATTAATTAATCTGTTAAATAAAGCAAGTGTGTCAAATTTCACTTTCGTTTTCGTTGGTATTCTGAGACAGACGTGATTCTGTAGTACGACACACTGCCTCATGATCAACCTCTTGGCGCAACATGAGAAAATGTGGCAACGAATCAATCACGTAACAGATAAACCGCATGTGGTACGTACAAATATACCGATTTAAAAACGTGAACATTTTAATGACCTTTAATATGTAACAAGAAAGGCGAATTGACTTAAAGCCACATTAAAGCGAGAGAATACAATTTCTCGAGGTTACAGGCACAGAAATGTGAAAATATTTTTTAAGCTCTACAATTCCCTTGACGACTGACCCAGTCGATAATGTAGTATTTTTTGGACATAGACCGCATATATAAAACGTCCGCTCCCTGGTTAGCTGCAGTATCACAGTGACCAAACCAAAGCGTAGGACCACCTCATCATGAAGACCGTGTTTGTAAGTTGTAGCTATTCGATTTTATAATCACATTAACTAAGAAGTGTTTCCTCGCCTTTTATGGGGTCAGATTATTTGTTACCGTTCTTATAAGGATTAGCAACAGATTCCTATTCCTGGTCGAATCGACACCCTTACATAAAAGTAGTTAAGTGCTCTGTTTCTTTCAGGTTATAAACTACAGTCTTTATTTTGTATGTCATTCCTTTAACATGACAAATTAAGATTTAGAACCTGGATTTAACGGATGAAGGGTTAACCTAAATTCTGCTATTTATCCGTTCAGTATAAAATATTTGTTTGAAATAAATATTATATACTATTTTATTATAGAGTTAAGGCCTACAAATCCCAAATAGTCTAACACTCAACATGCTGTAATATTCCTAGCACTAAATTTAATATTCTGTCCGCGAATATAAAGCTGTAGGCTGTAGTAGAAAGGTATAAGTCCCTTCAAAATATTTGTAATGTCTTAGTATGAAAACAGGCTTGAGAATTATTTTATATGAAGATTATTATTAATTACCTTTTCGGCAAATGAGCCGGGATAGCTCAGTCAGTATAGTGACTAGCGGGCTGGACGACCGGGGTTCGATTCCCGACGGGGGCAGAGGATTTTTCCTCTAGCCTCTGCGTCCAGACCGGCTCTGGGGCCCA